AAATCGAAAGAATCCCCAGTAAGTGTACTCTCAAAACTTTTATTCAAACATAAAACATAAAAATAAAAAAAAAGAATTTATGTAAGTTATGTAATAAAATCTGGATGAATCTGGGCCTTTATCTGTCAAAGATGTTTGGGTAGCATCAGCAGTTTCTTCCAATTTTAGAAAAGCACCACAGACTGTGGTTGATGATGTTGCTATTCCTGAAGACTTTGGGGTTTTCTCACTTGCTAAGACAATCAGAGTTAGTGATGATCTCACTGAGGAACAGTTGCAGGATGACATCATGCCCAGTGCTGGAGATGAGATGGGTTAAAAAGGACAAATATGTATTGAATCTGCTGCGGTGTTATACTATTTGCATTGTTGCTTATACATTCATTTCATATTCACAGAAGCTCAAATCAGATTTTTGAAGGCTAAACTTCGAGTAATGCAGGAAGAATTGACCAGACTCGTATATGAATGCAACAAGAAGGTAAGTTTGAGATGTGTTCAAGGTTAGTTAATCTATTCAATCAGTTAAGTTACTCTTACTCAAAATCTCTTTTGCGTGTCTTGAAGGATGATGAAAATGGCACTTTAAACAGCAAACTGAAGCACTTGGAGGAGGAAAGAACAAGATTGCAGAGGACTACAAATGTCCAACAGACTCAAGTTGAGAAGCAAAGAGCTTTTCCTGAAATGTGAAGGACTGCAACAGCAAGTGGCAGCACTGCAAAAGGTACTTGAATTGTTGGCAAAATATTATTCCAAGTTCTTCCCACAAGCTACTGAAAAGAAGTGACCTTATGACAGAACAAGTGTTACTGTTTCTTTGACAATTTTTGATCATTTATTTTAAACCTCAACTCATTTCCTATAGGAGATGTATAGTATAAATGCCATAATTCCTGTTAATTAGAGCTGTGCCAGGATGCAGAGCCATGGAATCCTTGGCATGGGCCCTTTAACCCGATTAGTCCTCTGTGTGTAAAGTGAGACTACGCCACAGCTGCTCAGAGACCAGAGCACACTGCACTTGGGCTTCTGGGACAGATATCTTTGGAACTCACCCTTCCCCTTATGATAGGGACATGGAAACTGAATAAGGATAGAGAACAATAGTAGAGTCAGATAAAACAAAACATTCACTGTCATCGCACTTTAGACTTATTAAAAGTATCTCATGTTTGTGTAGTTTTAGGTTTAAAAGCTCCTTCAAAGATCCAACTTTTTTGACAAACAATAAATATTTAATTGGGCCACCTGCATCAGAAAAGACAATGTTCATAATATGTTTTATTAAGGTATATGTAAATGCATGTGTCTACACTCTAGGAGTTGGAAAGCATGAAGAGGACCCACAAGCAGGCAGCCAGTACCCAAACTCAAACAGAGCAGTAAGGTAACGTCACCTCAGATAAAACAAGTGAAGTTTTATGTGCAACAAAACATTTTGCACCACATCTTACTCCAGACGTTTTTCAGATTTATATTTAGCGTTTTTGTTCATGTCACTTTTCTCTTCTGTTTGTGTACCCTACCTAAGGATTCAACCAGTCAGGAGCAACAAAAGTTTGAAACCTTACAAGCTGAGAACAGAAAACTGGAACGGCAGAAGGCTGAGCTCATTGCAGGTTTTAAAAAGCAACTTAAGCTAACAGATATTTAAAAACGACAGAAGGTAAGACATCAGTTTCTTCACAATTACTTGAATCTGTCATTTCCAGTTACAGTTAAATCACTAACTGCACTTTTTTTGAAGCATTTTATATTTATGGCTTTATTTTAAAAGCTGCATTCTGAAGCAGCCAAGCTGTTGTCCTTCACTGAAGAGGAGTTCATGAAAGCTCTGGATTGGGGAAAGGATGGAGTCAGTCTCATAGGTTTCTGTTTTGTATTTTGTAAATAGATTAAAAATAGATTGAATGTGTACAACAAACAGCTTCAATTTCATTCACTGTTTAACAATCTTCAAACGTCTTTAATATTCTGTATATCATGACAAAGTGTTTATCAACCCTGCCACATTTATTCAGATTACTTCATGATTGCCATCTAGTGGTGAATACTTGAGTCAAGCTGTATATCCAAATATGGGTTCTTTATTGTAGCATTTAATCACTTGTTATTTTATATACAATGTATAAACAGAACAAAAATATTTCATTCGTGCTAGTAAATATTTGCATTATTTAGGGTAAGGGTCCAACCCTTTCTTCTTTATTAGTAGTCAATTGTAGGAAGTGTGACCATTCTGGTGAACTTCTCATAATAAATAAGTCCATCAGGTCCGACATTAGCCTCTTTAAAAAGCTCATCCACTGAAAAAGAATTCACAATTAAAGAATAGTTAAACAACACATTTTATTCTTATAGTATTAATACTGGGGTTAGTTTGTTAGTTGTTTTAATTATTTTAATTTTTTTGTTAAAAATCGAGAGATCAAATGTATTTCTAAACACAAACAGGATTCATAAATGGGATTAATTTTATTCAAATAATTTATTTAA